TTCTCCTGGGGGGGGGGGGGGGGGGAGAGGAAGTGGGAGATAGACAGAGAGAGACCGAGAGACAGCAGAGAGGGGGGGACAGAGAGACGAGGGAGAAACATGACACCATCGTGCACACATCGTATCAAGACTAAACACAAGTACGAAGATCTACAAGTGCCGTTATAACAGGAGGGCTCTTTGCACGACACCGGGCGGAAGTATTTACTACTTCTATATAGAGTTTCCCGGACAAGGAAGTAAATAAAATACATGGGTCACCAGAAATTCCATTCCAATTGTCAACAGCAAACCTCCCCAGATTTAATACACTGCCTCCAAATAAGTGCATATATACAGTGGTGAGTCCAGTTTAGCGACATACCCGGAATAGCGACCACAAAATTGCCTGGCACTACCCGACTAATCGCCGCTATACCAGCAATAGCGACCTGTACTGGAAAGCGACCACATTCCCTTTCCGACACTTATTATAATAGGGATCGCTGAACCGTGCCAACCACTGTGACCTATTCGTCCACAACACCACCGCGGAAAGATTGCCGCAGAACTGGCCTTGTCTTACCGAGTACTCACAAGAATGGTGTGTCTCGAACTTTTCGGTGTATATTTCCCAAGAAACAAGAAACACGCCTCGTGTTGCGTCTGCGGAATGGTACCTTATGTCGCCCTAACACTTGATTCAAGAGCACTTCCTACATTGCAACACATTACACTCATGCTGACCCGTACAAACATATTGCCACCGGGTGCGGAATTGCACACGGGGGGTTACTATCTTGTGTCGGTACCTGAGCGCAAGAAGTCATGACCGCGTTGAGGGTGATCACATCCGGCGTGGCCCCCCTCGACGACATCTGCTTCAGAATAGCGATCGCCCGCTGCCACTCCCCGCCCCGCCCACAGGCCGTGATGACCGAGTTGTACGCCGCCGCCCGTGGCTGAAGGCCACTCTTGCGCATCTGGTCCAACGTCACGATGCACTCCCTCCACCTCCCCATCCTAGCGCACCCTGCGAGCGTAGCCTGGAACACCCCTTCGGTCCTCTCCACGCCCTGCAAAAAAACACGAAACGTGTACAGTCCGAGTCCCTCAGTAGTGCCGGTATGCGCTCGCCAGATTCGCCGACACTAAACCGGGCACCCTGTACTATCCAGAGAATGAGAAAAAACCTGGTTTTCTTTATCCCTGTCACACGATTTCACTGGCACCATACCGAGCAGCGGGAGTATTGTATTCAACCGGCACTATTGAGGGACCCCTCTGCAAGAGGCAAGGAATCGTGGCCTGGGCAAAGCAAGGTGACATGCGCGTCTCCCAATTATGATCGTCACTGCCTTCTCACGCCTCATTCAACGACCCATCGCAAGGGTCTCATCCATCACCAGCCTATGGAAAACTACGAACACGCGTCAAGAAGTGTTGCTGTTAGCATGAAAAGGGTGTGCCTCGTTCAGCATAGGGTGTGGGATGGCCGGCAGGTATACCTCTGCGGGCCCATACCAACGTCGGAACTATATGTGTGCCCCCTGCATGCACAGACCTTTCTCCCAGCAAATTCAAGCAACATCCCATTCCTACCGGATCAAGACTATCAAGCAACCCGTACCCTTTGTGTGTTCCCTACAATAGATCAACCTACCCTCAGAGCTTGTGGTCATCCATATTTGCCGTCAACAGCAGTACAAGGGGAACCATGGATGGAAACAAGCTCTACAGGCCAGCTTGATCTTAAATACTTTGAAGTAGGTAAAACAACGGGTAAGGGTCGCGTGAAAGTCTTGATTCACGATCGTGTGGGAAAGGGATGTTGCATGGACTTGCTGACAGAAAGGTCTGAGCTGAAAGGTGCACAACTTCCCCAGGGGGCACGCTGATAGTCCTGATTTGTTATGGGTCCTTTGAGACATACCTTCCAGACATCCCACACCCTATGCTACACGAGGTACCCCCTATTAATGCTAACGGTAACACCCCCCAACACTAGCCCCCTCCTAAGATATATATGCAACTCCATTCTCAAATCCTAGAAGCTAATGTTACCGGATCAAAGAGCACGAACACCGCCCTCGGGAAGGACAGTTGTAGAAGTATCCAAATTTACCCCCCATACCTCTACCGCTTGTGCTCCTTCACACAAACTCGGCCAACCAAGACACGGGAAAACCATCAACACATCGTGTCATGTGCAGAAAATGCTGTAGCAGTTGCCAACAACAATTTGACAGTCATGGTGCATTGGATTGATCACCATCGAGCGATTCAAAAAACACAGCCGCATGCGATAGATCCCAAACCGGGGGAAAACCAAGCAGTCTCCGCAACGTCTCTGTCAGCGTTCGCCGTGTGAGTTTTCTAACTGTCTCACGTGTTTTTTTTATCTGTCTTACAGTGTTTTGCACTGTTCTGTTACTCTGCCAAAGCAAGAGAACCCCTGCGACAATTTCTGCCCTGTTGTCGCGTTTCCAACTCACGACCCTTCTCCGTTCCATTTGCTCTTCACACCGTTATTATCCGAGTGCCCAACAACAACAGCCAAAACCTTGCTCACCGTTGTGCTTCTTCCATGTCTTCAAACCGATAACTCTGACCCATGCCGTGCCTCCGCCGCTCGCCAATACACAAACCAGGAAACCCCTGTGTGTCTCCCCCTCCTCTGCTATACTTTCAGCAAAAACAACATCTTGCCTATTCCCCCGCTTTCAGCCAACAACAAACCCGTTCTTCTCTCGACAACGGAAGTGAATCACTCCTCACCTTCTTTTCCATATCTTCCAAGAATCGAAGGGCCATCTGCCACTGCTTGCCCCGACTGCAGGCGGTGATGGCGGCACCGTAAGTCGTAGCGTCGGGGGTGGGGGGTTTGGGGTGACCCATGTCCGCGTCCCACGGTACCTCCGAAGCCTTCACCATGCCCACGAAAATCTTCAGACCTTCCTCCCACCTGAAAAAAAAAACAAAAAACAACGATACCGCGTGAGTGTAACACGGAACAGGAACACAGCAGTCACACGCTGTTATCTACTCTGGCGACAGACAGACAAGTTCAGTTACGCGCTATGCAGCAGCGACCAGAAGTAAAAGCCGAAGACTATATATAGTACATACATCCCCGACCGGCCTGTTCATCGTCTCGTGAGTCCAAGCAAAAAAAAAAAAAAGGGTCATAACAATGGCATGCTGTTTGTCTGTCTTTCCGACGGGTGACCATTCGCTAGAACCCTGATAGCACCCGTTCCTTGAAGATATACAATTGTAAGATGTACGTATTAGAGACGCACTTGCTCCTTTCACCAAGCATTGGTCACCTCCCGATCCCGAAAACAAATAAACGCGTTTCGTCGGTGTTCATCCATCACCACAACCTTCGGGCCTGTGTTTCGACCTCGGCTTTAGACTCGAACGAACGAAAGCCACGATGTCGGTCATAATCTCCTGCTGTAGCATCCGTGCTTGGCGTTGCTCTGGCGCGAATCGGCACGTGCGCCGTGTTGGCGGGCTAACCCCACACCATCACCGGATAACCGAAAAAAACCGCAAGACTCTGGAAAAAAACATACGAATCTGGAAAAACCGCAAGACTCTTACCACTTGTTCAGAACAAATACGAAAAGCCATACATAGTGGGATGAACACCACGAAAAAATAAAAAAAAGAGCGTCCTTTTCGTCCCACCTGCCGCCCTTTCCACAAGCATCGATTGCCGAGTTGTAGCTGATGAGATCCGGCGGGACCCCTCTATCGCGCATGGTGGAGAGCAGCTCCTTGGCCTCACGCCACTGGCCGGACTTGCCGCAGGCCGATATGGCGGCGTTGTAGCAGTACTGCGTTCAAACCACACAATCCACCGGCGACGATCCAGAGACAAGGGAAGGGTAACACTGGAACGTCGGAACGGACTACCAATACTGTTTATTTCGAAAAAAGACCGTGCAGGGGGCACGCAGACCCTTGCCCTAACTTAGCCGATTCTACACTTTATCCAGTATGCTTGCTTGCGTAGAAAAAGCTGCGTAGACTTTTGGTCGTAATGGGGACACCAGATGGTATTATCGTAAAGTACTATCCGCCAGGTGTTGGGCCAATCAACCGTCCGAATTGTAACCTTTGACTAGTGCCACAAATTTCCAGGAATTTTCCATTGGAAAATATCTGCCCCACCTCGACTGTCGGCCGGTAGGGGAACAATCATAACACCCCCCCCCGAAAGGCTAACCCCTACGGCCCTTCCAAGACATTTATTACCACAAGCCCTTTGATACAATCTATACTTCTGTACCTGGCACATCTCTTCGTGAACGTTGTGGCCGCACAACATTGTCGTTTCTCCACAGCAAGAATACAATGGCCCCTTTGCGGCCAGGGCGGTATGTAAATGTCAATACATTCTACAAGCGGGTCTCACATCATTGGGAGGCGGTCCGTCTTTGTGCATGATGTTGAGTAGCCCCAGCGCCTGCTTCCACCGGCCTCCTTTTCCGCAAGCCGTGATCGCCGAGCAATAACACCTGTTGCAGTTTCGGTTTCGGTTTCAGTGTTCGCGGTCCCGATAGTGGCAGCGATAATGCGACATACATACTTATACGGTGAGATGAAACGCCAATGAATACCACCGGTCAGTTACCCTTAACACCGTTTTGTGGGTATTAAAAGTTGAATAGTTGGTCTGTGACTGTGACCACGGCTCGCCGTCGTGTAGAAGTCGAGGTTTGAACTCGGTGAAGGGTGTGTGGTACCCTATGCAACCTATTGCTGGAAGTGCTTCACGGAATATTTCTCATTTCCTCGTCGTTATTGGGTCGATAACGATCGAGACTAAAACAATACATGAGTGAACCCAGCGAAAACCTGTACTTGATCAAGTACAAGACACTCGGAGGCCGAACAACAAGATAAAAACGCGTGACACCTTTTGCCGACCAAACAAAACAAGTAAATCAAGACCTGCAGGCTAGGGACGCAAGGGACAGGCTCTGCTTTGTGCTTGAGTACCAACTGCAAGCACCGCTGCGTAGCTCACTTGAGATCGGGCTGCACGCCCATGACGATCATCTCGTCCAGCAGCAGCAGCGCCCGCTTCCAATCGCCCACGCGGGAGCACGCCGAGATGACAGACAGGTACGAGACCTCGTTCGGCTTGACGCCCACCTTCTGCATCTTCGCCAGCAGCGCCAGTGCCTCGCCCGGTCTGCCCGCCTACATGCATTGTTGGTTTATGCATGTGTTGGGTATTGTTTTTCAGTTCCACCTACGTGTAGTGTTGGCCTTCATAAGTGGGGATATTGTTCTCTCAGTTCACGTGTATTGTTGGTTTTAGTAAGTGTTGTGCATTGTTTTTTCAGTTAAGGGTGTTGGTGTTGTTGGTGTTGGGTACGACCGCTGCATGGACTATTTAAGACCAAGTCATTGGTGGACTACCGCAAGAGTCGGAGAGTTGGCACCGGCCGGAGAGATGGCACCGGTCGGAGAGATAGAGATGGCACCGGGGTGCGATAAAACCCAAGAGAAAGAAACATTTAGTTCGATTTACGCACCGGGGTCGGTGAGATCGTCCGACCCCCAAATCCAAGATTGAACCCCTTTTCAGCAGCCGGAATGAGGTACATGTGCGTACCTTTACACGTGGGGACGGAGTCAGCGGAGCGCCACTCCTTTACGTACGATTGGATTGTCGCGGTTCACGCGGGATGCCAGTTGTTTTCATATTTTTATTGGTGTGGGAGTTGCCAACCGTACACTCAACCAAACACACAACGTACAAGCCGCACCCTACCCCACCTTACACAACCCAAAACTACTGTACTTCTGCGTACGTACTGGTATCCGTAGAAGAAGACCGAAACGAAAGCCGGACACAATTGATACCGTGTGTACTGGTACCACCTCAGATGGAAACGACATCGTTTGTTGTTGTCACGCCATAGCCAAACTCGCATCAAACACAAGACCACTCGCTGCATGGAAAGCTGTTACGTGCCAGCCTACGTTGCCGTTACCCGTGTGCTTCCAACCAACAACAACGGTACCTAAACGTGTGGTTCTATACCGATCAATAGCATTGTCAACGACCGATTGTCACAACTCCGTCTACCATTCAATACTATGGCACCGGTCGGGGAGATGGCACCGGGGTGCGTGCATACAACACCTGTGTGCATTTCATCGGGGATCGCACCGGTCGGAGAGATCGCACCGGGGTGCCTTCAAAATTCTAAACGAAATGATTTCACTGCATTTCCGCACCGGGGTCGGAGAGATGGCACCGGGGTGCGATAAAAAACCCGAGGAAAAAACATTTAAAAACACGGTCGCACCCGGTGCCAACTCTCCGACTCTTACGGTACATCCCTTCTTAAAACGCCAACCTAACAGAGCCATCTGTAGCACAGAATCCTTCTATAATAGGAGCAATGGTAATAACCGTTCGAGTTGAGAACGAGACGCACCTTCCCGCAAGCGTCAGCGGCCGCATTGTAGCAAATCAAGTTCGCCGGGAGTCCGTCGACAACCTCCATATCCCGCAGCAGAATCAAGGCCTTCTGCCATTGCCGTCCCTGGCCAAATCAACATGTGAAGTACCATGCGGCGGTACACACAAGGAGAGCGTTCAGCACCCGACACTGCACTGCCAACCTACACGTCTTTTAGGTGACAGTGCTCAAACGTGACACACATATGTAGACTACATAAGGTGTATCAAAAGAACAACAGCAGTGTGACCAATACACGAGACGTATAACGACATAACAACGTTAGCTATAATAAAATAGCAATATGGACGCCACTGTTGACCCAACGGTAGGGGGCGTGGCGGAACGATGATTCCCACGAGATTTGTCAGACAGAAGTAACTGCCAGAATATGATCAGGGTGGCTTGTTCCGAATGCGATTATGTCACTCAAGTGTCTTATGCATACTATCTCTAGGAAAAATGAGGGTCGGTACAAAAAGCTCATCATTTGGGCGTCAAGACCGACAAAAAATATGGAAATATTTATATACATGCATACAGAATGCGCTACCACTCTAGAACATAGAGGTAAAAAAACTTGGGCCTCAAACCCAAAATCTACGAACTTGGCCATAAGAACAGGTTCTCAGTCAAGCAGCCTACACTAATCGCCGTGGGGATACCCCATGGGCAAAAACAGAAACGAGCCTACGGTAGGCCGGAAGTACGAGGTTCTGAAATGGTGGCGCGTTCTGTACCTTAGCGCACGCGTCGATCGCGGCAGAGTAGACGAAGGAGTTCGCCTTGATCCCCACATCCCTCATTTCCGCTAGAGAAATCAGGGCTCTTTCCCATTGCATGCCCCGGCCACACCTGATGCACCAACAACCATCAAGGAAATACCGTTGGGGATGGGAGTTACGGCTCAGACACGTTGCGCTTTCCAATCGCAAGTCGGTGTAATTAATCCACAGAGCCAAGAGAAGTAAAGGTCTTCTGCGGCATGCCCCACCCGCAGCTGGTCCCGGAAACAAATCAACGCATGTACATATCTCCAAGACCAACCCTAGGGTGTTGGACTTCAAGCATTGCTCCAACAGGAGCTATGCCCCATGACTACGTGCGAATCAGGTGTGTGCTATATCGATGCTAAGTCGATGCGTGTGCTCTCTTATCTCCCACGTCAGTCGTGGTGCCATATCATGCAGTATCATCAACATCAACAGCAATGCACCAGAGTGTTCCGTCCCGGGGTTGTAGGGGTGCGAGGTCAAAGGTCTCACGACTACGGCATGCACGACTATGAGTACCCCCCCACCCTTCGAGTGACTGTGGCTATACTACACCTCGAACGCGGAGTCTCGCGTTGAGTGTATGTGGATGTGTATTTCCAAAAAAGCAGCTAGGCCAAGACGGAGAGCAACAACTCACGCGGCGATAAGGCAGGCATAGCTGACGGCATCTCTCTGTATCCCCCTCGTCTCCATCTCCTTGAGCAGCAGGACGGCCTCTTCCCACTTGCCGGCCCGGCTCAACGCCGCCAGAATCGTGTTGTACGCCTTTTGCTCCACAATCAGCCAAGAAGATAAGTACTCCTGCGATCCACATCAACACCAATGCACGTGTACATACACATGGTTGTCGTCGGTGTTGGCGGCAATCCTGCTACCGGGTCGCGTTCGCAGTCACTACCGTACGCGGTACCACTTTACCAACCTCGTATGCTACTTTGGCCTAAGGCCGTAGGCCCATTTCTCTTTTGGTCTGTGGGATACTGCACTGTACCCCCACGATTACTCGTGTAGGTTTCTTGACACGACAACTCCAATTTATCTCCCCATTTGCTTGAGCTACCTCTACGACAGCAGCATCAACAAGACTTTAGACAACGACAAGGACAACTCCAATTCACCTCCCCGTTTGCTTGAGCTGCTGAAACCTTCCGTGCGTTGAGCGCCTGCTCCACTCGAAGCACTTTGAACGAGGCCTTCCACAGACCATTTCGAGCTAGCTTCGTCAGCCCTCCAATCAGCTGCCGACTGGAAAGCCAGTGGAATTTGGATTGGACGTACGGCACAAGAGCATGGTGTTGGTGTTGAGGCTTTCAAAACACTCGTGGGGATAAATGCAAAGGCGCGTGATATCGCTGTCGACGTTCTTTGTATCAAAGGCCGCGTGTGCAAGGTGCCACTCAACAGCTCGGATTGAAGGCCAAATGCAAGTGCTCGTACTGCGAAACAGCGACTTTTCCGGGCTGAACACGGAACAGGTCAGTGCTGTGCACTTTTAAACACCTTGGGGTGAATCTCAATCATGAACACGGGAAGGAAATAGTGTCAGTCAGGGTGCTGCAGGCGTGTTGGATTGATGTGGTCAAGCGCTTTTCTCCGTCAACAGATGTTTGGTTATCACGGCGGCTGATGTTGGGGCCCAGAGCAGCACCGCAAAAATGCAGTACCAACCAGAGGCCGAGGACTATAATAGACAGATCGGCAAGGAGGCTACAATAATCCATTATATGAAACGGAACCTGAGCAGGACGTGACACACAAAACGTGCACGGCCATCTCATCAAGTCTTCCTTGACTCTACCTCGAGAACAACAACCAGGTTTCGAGCTGTAAGAGTCTGTTTAGCAGGAAACGCGCGGTAGCCGTACCTGCATCGCTAACTGGGGAGCGAATACACGGAAGTTACCGTGTTAATTTAGCCTGCTACCAAACATAACTGCACCCTACTCCTAAACTAGTCGGCGGCATTCTGCAGCAAACGAAGTTTGAGACATGCTACAGCCAACGTGCACGTTATTATAGTTAGAATGTACGTCCTTGTGCTGAAGAAGCTCACATCACATCCGGAATGATGACACTAACAGAGACTGATAGGGCTAGGGCTTGGGCCGTTGATCCTACGGCTTAGTGGAATGGCGCGCTTTGGACAGGTACTGCAGATCATATAAATATGTCACAAAATACAAGTGTTGCAGACGTGTAGGCTTTGCTACGACCAAGTAAGCCAGGGGTCAAGCATTCCAAACGTCACTTAAGCACCCAACAGAGACGCTGTGCATTATGTTGAGAATGAACGGGCACGCCCGAACACATGGTACGCCCTCGCTCTTTGTGCATTCATCGTTTGGATACATCAGTAGTGTAGTATACCTGAAGAGAAATACATGCACACGACATGATACTCTGTACACATCTATCGATAGTTCACGAGAGGTCGGCATTGGTCGGGGGCAAGCCTGTTGGCACTGCTATTTTCGACACAAGGTCAAGCTCTTAGCTCACCTGTAGGCGTCCATCCCCGACCCTAGCTCCGCCTCCACACACACCACCTCCCCTTCCTCGGTCCCATTCAAATGGTCCTGCACGTGCTGCTGCTGCTGCTCCTGCTGCTGCTGCACCTCGGGTCGCGTGCCCATCATCTCCAAATGGTCATCGTTTCCCAGCGCTGCCGCCGCCGCTGCAGGCACGTTACTCTCGCCCATACTCACCACATCCCCCGCCACATCACCAAACATACCACCGCTGCTCCCGAACATGTCCACCTCTATCCCCCCCCCCGCAGCAATCCCCCCGCCGCATCGATCGTGCACGGCGGGGTCGGCCAGCGTCTGCGGTGCAGCGGAGCTATGAGAACCCCGTTTTCGAGCGTTGGCGCCGGCGCGAGCAGCAGGCTGGCGAGCGCGAGGTCTGCTGGGCTGGATGCTGGCCTGCGAGAGGGAAATGGAGGCCGGCGAGGAGCAAGACCTGGGCGAGGGGACGGTGTGCACGCACTCGGCGATGCCGTTGCTCCTCGGTCTTCTTCTCCTGCACTTCAACCAAATGGCGCCGCCGGCGTGTTGCTGCGAGAGAGCAGCGCTGGATGGCACCGCCGGGGCTACGAAGGCACCTCCTCGCCATGGAGGCTGGGCAATGCTCCCCGTTTCTTGGAACATGGGGTGCTCTCCCTCTCCGACGCGGGTGACACAGACGGGGTACGTGTGGTGCTCGTCTGTGGTGATGTGCTGTGTGAGCTGGCCCTGTGCCGCTGACAGGAACTAAGGGGAGGAGGGGCGGGGGGGTGCAACGAGGTTTTCAACATGTCATGTGTTGGCGTTCGAACTGCAGAGGGGGTTGGGGTAAAGTGGCCTTTCAGGAGACTACAGCAGTAGTACGCTTCCAACGCTTCCAACGCTTCTGAGCTTGCTAGAGAACCTGTACTTCACTAGACAGAGGACAGAGGTTCGCAGGGAGCATGAAGGGTGACCTCATCTGCCGTGGTGATGCAAGTGTTAACTCTTCTGTGTGTGTGGGATGTGGAGTTTGCGGTTGGGGGGGCAATTACATGCACCATACAACAGACAGGCGAATGATTTGAAAATTTGAACGGGCGGACGGGACGAGCTCTCTCGTTGTACGTATGAAGATGTGTTGTGCATTGTTGAGCGAGGGCACTAGAGAAATGGCAACAAACGCTCCTCCCAGTGTACGCGCCTTACATGTACCAAGAAATACAACAGCTGCTAATCAAGCACAAGGTTAAGTTTTTTTTTTCATATCTCTCACGTTGCTCTCGCTGATCATGATGTCAGAGATGTGACGTCATCATCACATGAAATCATGATCGATCGATCGCGATCGGGAAAAAAAAAAAGGGATTCAGGAGATTCCCTTTCAGCAGTTAACCCTTCGTTATTCGTATGTATATGTGATGCGACGGGCGTTTTCAGCACAACTTCCAGCTGCTGCGTGCCGGACTTCGTTGGGCTATCTCGGTGGTACAGCAGGGAGGAGCGAGCTGAGAGCCGCGACGATCTGCTGTCTGTGGTGTGCGTTGCTCTGGCGGCGCATTACCCGCATATACCCCACGGACAGGTTATCTCAGCCGCGTCCCCCTTGAAGACGAAATCCATCGGAAAATCTCTCCATCTCGCCAAGGACGTCACCCAAACATTCGCTATCTTTGTTCTAGCCCTCCCGCCTATTCACGTCGTCCCGAAGCCCTCTAAACTACCGGAAAGGAACGATGATGAACACTCTGGCATGCTCGCTCGCCGTGCTGGCCTCTGCGTCGGCGTTTGTACCCCCTGCACAGCTCCCACGAGTGGCTTCTTCCAACAGCGGGGTAAGTGTACTCCTCCTGCTGTTCGCGGGTTGACAGAGAGATGCTGCATGTCTTCCACTACTACTGCTGTAGTCTAGTCGCTGGAAGCTTGTCGCGGCGTATCGAGACAGGGGAAGAGAAGGACTTAGTTGTAGGTGTGGTGTGTGGTGTGTGTGCCACGCATAACGGGAGTCCATGTCGTGACCCGCGGTGGTCTTGTTTCGTTGACGGCGAGAGAGAGGAAGAGGCCAGATGGTGTTTGGTGTGCATGTGTTCCTCCTGCTTATCTCTCCCCCCTTCCTGTGGTCTAATGCTACAGCAGTGCCATGTACGGCGTCCTTGATACGTGGTGTACGTGGCTTACCCTGTGGTTCTGCTTGTTCGCCTGCGGCGTTGTTGTTCATGGCTAAAACACCGTGTTTTGGGCCTGGTCCTCATAGTGTGCATGTTTGCCGCATTTCGACTGGACAACAGCAGACCAGTCTAAATGCCAGATGTTTGGTGGTGCTTTGAAAGATGAAGATTTCCAGTCTCGCGCAAGATGGATGTGAAGCGGGCGAGTGCCACAATTTTACAGTGTCGTCATCGTATGCGTACTACTCTAGTACAGGGGTTTTGGAACCGCTTGCAACAAAGATCGAGAGAGAAGAGGGAGACTAATCTACGCACGACGCGTCTCACACGTCGTGATGAACTGCACTACTGTTTGTTCTTGTTTGCTACAACTCGTACAACTAACTACATGTGGTTACTGCTGTACACTACCCCACTTTGGAAGCAATCTGCACGGCGTAGCGTACCATGGATTTCAGCCAAGATTAAGATTGCTTGAAGGCACTTGAGGGTCATCGCAGGAGCCACTCTGTTAGACCCCCCTCCTGGTGTTCCTTCTTGTTGCAGCAGTGGGACGTCGGGGTTGCTCGTGTACAATGTAGTGCTTCGATCACCATGCTGCGGGACATTCCTAGACACCGACATCCGGCACACAAAAACTCCCAAAAATACAAGCTCTCGCCTCCTTGAAAACAAGCACACCCCTCGAGTTACTCGGACGAGCTGAAAGATTCATCGAGCAAGAGTGATCAGCAGCCACGCTCGTGCTGGTGTGCATAGCCATCAGAGAGCAAGCTCCGATCGGACACGATTTTTCTTTGCGGAGGATGCTCTAGTGTGTCGGTGGAATGCTACTTGTAATTTACTGCTGCTCTAGGCTTCGGAACCGGGATCTCACACACGAAAGGTTCCTCAAAGATGATGTTTGATTTGGGTTTCGGCACTGTCGATGGATGCTGTTTCTCGAGAACACAAACCACTTGATAGGCGGGAGTGGTAAGGTGAGGTCGCTGATTTTCTCGTAAAAAACCCTGCCTCGCCTCGAGCCTTGTGCCCCCGACCTACAATTACTCGTCACGACACCTTCCTCATGCATACGAACGGCTGGTTTGATGTTGGATGCGGATGGTGTCACCTCCGCCGGTGCTTTTGGCTTAAAAGCAGTACCTCTTGTCCGCAACTCTGGCTGGTGTTAATCCTGGTTGTCCGCACCATCGTCATAATATCGTGCCGTCTTGATGATCTATTGTACTCCATACATGTATCCCAGACCGCGAACCGATTGTTAACGCCTTTCTTTCCTCCCGCTTCTCGGTTTTATTCGACTAAATAGTCATTTCCATCAGTTTTCTCCAGCGGTGCCCTGCCTTGAATTACTGCTGTCGCGAGGAGTGGCGTTGACAGATTTGATATCTTTTGGACGCGAGACGCGCATGTTTGTCTGATGCTGTTTCCCTTTCCCTCCGCTTCCTTTCTGTTTTGTGCACCCATCGCGTTTGTCTTCACGCGTCTTTCTGATGGGAATTGTTGTGATGATGATGAATGCCGTCACATGTGGCGGAATCAGATGAGCATGCAGGCGACCAAGTCGAAGTCTCTGCCCTTCATGCCGCAGCCCGCTAAGCTTGACGGCACCATGGCTGGTGAGAATCGAAACACCGCCTTTCTGGAGCAGTAGTAGACCGACACCGGCGAGTTTCTTAGGAGAACAAGGAAACTCCCGACTTGTGTGACTGCACCAAGATCCGTAGTCACGTGCGAACGTAGAACCGCTGGGACTACCTACGAGTTTGTGGTTGTTTTCTTTTGTGTTCGTGTCTCTTAAATTGCCACACCACAATCTTGGGCGCTATTGAGCTTTCGGTCTGACCTCCCACAAATACTCTTCGAACCTCCAAGATCATTCTAGGCTGTCGTGCCTGTTGTGGGAACATCGAAGCTTTCAAAGTTTAATCTTGAGACGCTGGGGCAGTACCTGTCATGTTTCGCACGTTGCCGTACGCTACTCTGTGCAAGTCTTAAGTCTTGGCCACTGGTGTTGAATCTCAGCACGCCGAACGAGTTCGCCGTTGCTAAGCTTAAAGCTGCAGCCCCCCCCCCCCCCCCCTCCCACCCTCGTGCGTGTTATCGCCTGACCAATGGGTGCTTTCAGCACAGAGAGCTGACGTGCTGCCGAGTAGAATCCACCTATAACAGGAAATCGATGCTATTCAAGAGAATTCTGGTGCTATTCAAGAGAACTCTGCCTTCCCCTGCTGCGTGCATACTGCATACTGCACACTGCACACTGCACACAACGGGCAATAACCCCTAACAACGACCGCCCCTGCTGCACACTGCACTCTGCACACTGCACACTGCACACAACGGGCGACAAACGCTTGACAACAACCACCAGGGGACGCTGGGTTCGACCCCTTGGGCTTCTCTAACTTCATCCCCCTCGACTTCCTGCGAGAGGCGGAGTTGAAGCACGGACGCATCTGCCAGCTGGCCGTCGTTGGTTTCGCGGCGACGGACTTGGGCTTCCGCCTTCCCGGCGCAGAACACGCCGTGAGTTTCTTGGAAACCTCATGTCCTATGTGGTACTTGCTTAGATTTCCATGCAGGTTTGTATTTTTTTCGTTCTATGTTAAGACTGTCCACAGGTTTGCGATTTTTTCATTGCGTTGAGGTTCGCTGGGCTGTTGAAGTAAGAATCACGCCAGCTGTGTGAGGTGTTCGAGCCTGGGAAACGTCACCGATAGCAGCTGGTAGCTGATCCACACCAACACATGCATCCTTTACTTTCATCTCACGTGGCACGTGGCTCGTCCACCGCGCGCACCACGCACGAGTTATCCGGAGTCAACGAAGCCCTTGAGTCACGCACGTCAAGAAATGACGTTCACGTTGTCGTTGCCTAGAACGCATGTTTCGTTTTCGGCGACGAGGAGAACGTGAGTTTTGGACGTTCGTGACACAACGTTCGTGTCACGAAGACTCCCTCGGCGGTGGATACCTCCGTGCGTCGCGTGCGCGGGTGACGGGGTGTGGGCCTGGGGTACACTTTATGGGGGCGATTCACCGGCTGGTGTAAATCTGGCGGATATATATGTAGGGTCTATAGAAGGGCGAAAGGAAGGAAGGAAAGGGCACCCGATGGCTGCTGTTGTGCAGCTGAGGAGTTGCTTGTTGCTTGAGGCGTTCGTGCCGTGGGTGTTGCTGCTGCTTCGTTTGTACTTGCAGTATTCGACTGCTCACTCCCATGGCCTTGCGACAGGGCAAGACAACAAACAAAAATTCGCACGAAACACAACCAAACTGGGCGATACCACGGCACATGGCTGACGTTTACTACTTCGTTTTGGTTTCGCTGAAAGAGCAGAACCGCGCATGGATCTGGGGTTGTCTTCCTGCCATCTGTCAACGTGTTTATCCTGATGCGAAGCATGTTGTATCGGCATTGCGCTCCTCTCTGACCATGCTTTTGGAAATATGAACTGTTGTGCGTCAGGTGGCGTCGATCGCTGCGCACGACGCCGCGGTGGCTACCGGAGCGATGCCGCAAATCCTTCTGTGGGTGAGTGCCTTCGAGGCCATCTCGACTGTGGCCGTCATCCAGATGCTCGAGGGCTCCGGCCGTATCCCGGGGGACTTCGGCTTCGACCCCTCGAACCTCTACAGCCGGCCTGAGTTGGCGAAGAAGAAGGTGAGATGGATTGAATCATATCACGCAAGTGTGGGCAAGAGTCAAAGTCAGGCACCCTCACGGAAGGGTTGTCGTATTGGTAGTCGGTAGTCGTGACATGAGTACTGGCTTTCGCGCTAGCATCTGCGTCATGTACCGGTAGTGTAGTATATACGTAGGTGTTCATGGCCGGGCCACCTTTTTTTTTCTTGCGATATTTGGTCTCCATTTGACGTCTTGTCTTTTTTTGCAAGAGGTGGACCATTTCTAGGCGATCGAAATCGTCGCCCGCAGAAGTGGCCGTGGAATATGCAGGCGAACCGTTTATCTGCCCAAGAGAAATTTGCTTTCCCGGCTAGAAAATGCAAGGTTACCGGTACAAGTGTACGTACCTCTCCAACCCGAACAGCCTATCTATCCACCTATTCGGCCGGTGGGGTGGACACCGCAGATCAAAACGTTCTGTGAGTGCCGGCATGTGTCGAGCACGACGGATCTCGCTTACATTTATGATGAAAGTGTAGATATTGTGTTACGTGTGTCTGAAAGTTTGTGCAATTCAATGTTGCAGCACGGGGCGTCGTTTTCATACCGATTGAGGGACGTGCCAAGTGACGAGAATCTAGGTGAAGTGGTATTTGATGCTGTTGCCCAATTTTAAGATTTTTGAGTAGGCGCGCAAGGCGAAACTGCCGGGTATTTTCAAGATATTGAGGCCTCAACAACTCGCCATTGTCAGTCATAATCCGGTTGGCCCGCATATGCCTATGGCTATCCGCCGCCCCCCATTATTGTCTTGTTGCTTATGAGTCGTTTTTTGGATGCCAGCATGTTGAAACCTGTGCCCCTTTTACCTCGAGCACACATCCATGTATATGCATACAAATACTTGCTGACTTGTTGCCGTCTCTCCCCATGGACGTTTGTTGTATTGCACACTCAATTGTACACTCAAGGCGGACATGGAGCTGAAGGAGATCACCCACTGCCGTCTTGCCATGTGTGCCTTCGGCGGCATGGTGACCCAGGCCGTGCTCACCAACAGCGGGTTCCCTTACACGGGCTAACTCGTCTCGTGGCGGAACAGTTTTTGTTTGTCAAGTACTGGCTCTTTTTTTGGTTGTCGGGTCTCTGTTGGACGGCGGAATATGGCTACCGACCACCGCGATCGGGGCAATTTGTTGGCGGTATTTTGCTACGTTGCGATAGATTCACCCCTGCTTCACGACTCGCGTGGCACGTCGGGTCCCCCCACAAGAAGTACTAACTGGGGGAAACCCTACGGGCTGCATCACCCCGGTTGATCAACTCGTGGCACGCTGCGATCGAATAGATGCCGTTGCTGGTACGTTGCCGTGAGTCTTGTTGTAGAGGAGGGGTTTTAAACGGGTGTGGAGAGAAGCTTGCGGCGAAGTCGACTTTTTGAGAGAAACACAGACAAGCTCAGTTAATAGTAGTTTCTGCTGTTCCTCTCTCGGTTGTCTGAGGTTCTTGTAGCCGGTATAGAAGGAGTGTTTCGTTAGCCCGCCCCTCTTCTTGCTTTTAACGCTGTTGCGAACCATGGCACGGGTCCGTTTCGGCGATTGCCCCTCTCTCCTCTTTCCTTTAATTCAAGTTTTTGTTTTTTTGTTTGTCGGAGGTCTCCTCCTGTGTTGTGCTGGCGGTTGGCCGCTGCACGTGCACCCGTTCACATTTTGCACATGAGAGCCCTAAACGCAAGTCTTTATTTCGTTGGGCTGTGCGGTGTCTTCCACCACAAGCTGCTCGCCTCCCTACAATATCCCTCACGGCTTCATCCATGGGTTGGTGGACAGCGGCAGTAAGGTGCAAGAAGAACCGAGCCTCTCTCGCCCTTGTAACGGATGTTGCGTCTCGCGGCTGTGCGGAATGTGTGGGGCGATTCATGAAGCATTCGCGACTGGTATGATGTGGAGGTCTCGATCCGCTCGTTCGTTTGGTTCCGTAGCCAGTCACATCTATCTGTGTTTGCACCCGCACGCCACGAAACAAGTCGCGCATGCGTGTACCATCGCGATTTTCCTTGTGTAAGGTAGCTGGAAGGAAAGGACTGTGGATGATACCCCAAAACAACCGCGCAAGTTAAACCTACATTCCTGTAGGGTACTCCGGGGTGTTTTCCGGCAAGTGAAAAATCTGAGCTTGGCACTGCATGCTTGCACCACAGTGCAACGTCAACACACACACATGTAAATGTCCCTTGTCGGCCAAAACGCTTGGGGTCTCAGGCTCGAAAGTAGCCCCGGGAGCGGTGAAGCACAACCCCCAATGCCCCTCGCGTCACCACCACATGACGTACGTTGGTAAATCAAAGCCCGGTTCCGTTTCAAGTGAGAGAACCTCCCACTCCCGTCGTCTACTTCCTAAAAGACACCAAACTCTTCCTAAAACCACGAAGTGCTTGGCCACGAGCCGTGGCTATAAACCAGCCAGCAGCTGCCCGAGGCGTTGAGAGATCGCATCCTTTCTAGAACGGAAGTCAACCAAGTCAACCAGAGATTGATCGCCACAAAGATGGTCAGCGGCGACCGGAGTTTTGGATACCCCACCCTCTCCTTGTAGACACGTATTGCCAAGAAGCCCCGACACCCAGGCCTTGGTGCGCTTTAGCAACGCCCTTAAGTGTTGCCCTTGGTGCACGTGCGACATTGGGGGTCTCATAGTACAGAGCCACACCAGATCCTGATTGACCAGCAAGCACGGCAGTCGTTATACGAGCACATTCCGAAACGGCGAGGATCGCATGAGAGTTGTATGTGACGGGATTTGAACGGTACTTAAAAACATTCTTGGGAAGAGATCAATACGAAAGGTGACGTGGTGGCTGTAACTTCCCTGGGATATACCTATTATAGTCTAGAGCTGGACATTACAAAAAAACTAGACAGTACGATATACCCTCTCGAAGCCAACTCACCTCCAGTGCTGCCAAGCCTTGGAGAATGCTTTCAAGGCAACAAGACCGCCTTTTATGAGTAGACTCCTCGGCAGACGTCCAAGTACTCGTGACCGTCGCCGTTCGGAATGCTCCATCCAAGTCCTCCTGCCTCAACACGCTAGAACCCAAGACGATCTCGCAGTTGCAGACGGCGAGCCGAGACGTTAGCAGCCACGCCACCGCTAGGCAGGGAGAAAATATCTCGCCCATCAGTCCCTTGAGAGGAGAGATCAACATTTCCGTGTGATGCACACCGTGTGTTCAGGCAAACAAACGCCGTCCGTCCCCAGAAAAAGACGTGCGAGCGCGAGGGAACGTCAAGCAAGCTTTTGGTTGGGATGCCATCATAAAGCTGTCGACTAGGGGCTTGAGAGGGCGAAACTGCATGCACTAGACAACGTAGTTCAAGTGACGGCAACGTTAGGGAAAAAGCGACAAAGCGGACGGGGGTGGGGTTGGGGCAGATTTTCTACCCCCCGTTTCGAGCTCCGAGTGTCTGGGTAGTTGGACAAACGACGACTTGGAAGAATCACAGCAAAACCGAAGCAGTAGCGCCGCATTGCGTATCTCTAGTTCTCCGAAGTATGGCATCACATCGGCGTCACCATCCAAGCAACAATCCAGGCACCACAACAAACCGGCCGGCAGAAAGTAACGACTTACAGACAGCGATGTGCGACGGCACCCGTAGGAAGGAACGTCTTTCGACCGTTCCGAACGCAAAAGAAATATGCTTGTTGTGGTTGGGAGCTGAGAATTGCTTGCGTTTCGGCTGTATTCGTGAGTTGTTGTGCGTTGTGAAATCAATACGCGTCACCGCTAGTTCCCTCTCACCTGTCCCGCTTCACCCGCCGCCTTCAACGCCATCGCCACCTGGACGCCTGCTGACACAGGGGACGCAGAAGTCGCATCCCCGGTCTTGAACGCCTCCGCTGAAGAGGAATTTTCATCTTCGGTGGGGGGTTTCGCCGAGATATTCACTATTGCCCCGGCGAGCCGATCGGTAGTGACAACAGCACCAGCGATGAAAGCGGCAGAGGAACGAAAACGACTGCCTTAGGTTTTATCCACCTGCTCAGCCCTTACTACACATCATGTCACAATACTTGTTCCAGAAAATCGGACTAAGGGTAATCGTGAGACGCGCATAACACCGGCCGACGAGAAAGAAGTTGGAGCAACGAGACCTTGACCTGCTGTGACCTGCTGTGAAGCGAGAACGACAGCCAGTCCCTGTCCCTGATCAGGCGTGCGTATCCAATCATTGGGATAAAAGGCTATTTATCTACGCCTCGCACAAGTCGACATCACCCGCTGGGAGCGACATATACAAGGTGAGAGCCCCACTTACTACAACCGAGATATCGATCTCTTTTGACAAGAAGGCGTTGTCGGCAACAGTTAAAAACAAGAAAGGTAACCTCGGTCTCCGTGCCGGTTGACCAGATTTCATTTTTTATGAATTTACTGGCGTGTTCATCCAGGCTGTGACGCATCATATCCTTCACCATTACCTCTTTCGGAGCACTCCGTGAGACACGTGGTCATTTGTCGGACAGCCTCCTCCATTTCACTGAAGTTGGCATGTGGCGGTTTCGTGTAGCCTCCGCAGGCGTACCATGCGAGCAGCCAGACCGCGGACGATTGTCGTTGCCTTCGTTCCTTGATGCCAGCATCAGTATCGCCTGCGACGCCTGTTTGCGGCAAGGGCGTGTGGAGGGGTGGCAGGCACGGCCTTGACAAGTTTTCCAGGCTATCCATACCAATGTCCACGCATGTGTGCAAAAACGGACAGCGCGGGAGTACTACTATCGCTTTTCTTCTTCGAGCTACTGTGAGTGCGCTCTTGTATGCGTCCTTATTGTATCCATGCTCGAAAAGAGGTTGTTCCACCTGTTCGATCTTCTTCTCCAATCTTGCAGTGAGGTGACCCGCCAGAATACCTTGTTTGCGACTCAGCAATCGACCGAAGCAAGGGCTCAACTTCCTTGCGGGGGCTCTCCAGTGCCCCACGCTGTTATCCTCTTTGCGGGCTCCATTGGATATTCGATTCCTCGAGAGTAAGAAGTTATCCAGGCCTGCTTTCTCTCGACTTGTACCTTGGATTGAGTTAACGCATGACCGTCGGAATCTGCTTCTTTTGAAGAACGGGAACATCACCTACTGGATGTAGATCACGCATCTTCCTTTCGGCCGTGCAAACCTTCAACGTGTGTAGTCAAACCTCTCTCCGATTCCTCTCCAACACGCTTCTCTCTGAATGAAATTAGTGTTTGTCTTTGTGCACGACCACTGTTCTGCTTCCTCCTTTTGGATCGACAATATGTTCTTTGCGTCTCGTGAACCCTCGGAGCTTGAGTTCCAGGCTGGTCGCATGGTTCATGGTGACAGAAACCAAACGCCGACACTCTAAACACAGAGTGCCAATGCAAACTGGGTCGCCACCAATGTGGGGCGAAAGCCTCCCTGTTGTGTACTTCCTGTGGCACAGCTTTACAACCGTCTCACGAACCAACATGAGCTCGTCTTTTAGCTGCAGATCATGGTCGTGACAGATCACCATCTAAGCCTGCTTCAGAGGCGCTGATGTTTCTAAAAGTATTTACCAACGCTGCTGTGGACAGTCCTAGAAAAAAACTTCCTTACATAAAGCTCTTGAGAGTCTTGGTGATTCGGTAACTGATAATCGAAACAACAACTACATCCCCGATAGACGCCTGCCTCTCTAATGTCGCATTCCACTCGAACCCCCCCCCGCCAACCTTGACCCTTATCGGTACTCACAGGGTGAGCTTGAGTCTGTCGAAAAAATGTGCACCATCGCCACCATCACCCAGTGCCGATAGCCGAGCACTAGCAACCACAGCTCCGACTCGAAGGGCCGCCGAAAGGTAGGCAGAGACATGGCGGTGGTGCTGCTGAAGACATTGTCTTCACACTGATGTGATTCCTGGAATAAGCAACAGAACAAGCAGCGAGTCGGCACCACATGTATGATGAAGTGCTTGACCCCTTGTGACTGAGCGGCCTGTGGATGCAAAAACACCAAACGTGCCTCTGCTACGATTCACTAAGTGAACCTTTTCCGTGTTGAAGCCACAAAAGGTGCCCTAAAACGCGGTGTAGAACACACAGCGGAAAGGGAATGAAAACACACACGCACACAATGTCACGTGCTTGAAGTGGACACATTGCTCCGTCCATCGCATATACCACCGTGCAAGTTTCACCGTTCGTTGGCCATCGCATCGTGGCCGCCCTCATGCAGAAAAAAAACAAACAGATGTAGTCTGAATCAATCAGACCCGCGACCCGCACGCAGTACGACCCGCGCGCGCTCGGAACCGTGGTCCGCAGACCGGACGTGGCGTCTTTCGCTTCTCCCCCCCCACCTTGCCTCCGCCGAAACGCTTGGCCAAGTCCTTGAGAGCCCAGAACAACGCGTCCAACATGGCCGTCACACACCCCGAAGGCGCCTTTCGATGCGAGAAAGAAAAGTGAAGCACGGAAAAAAATTGAATGCAGTTAGAACCATCCTCTAGTTGATGCCGAGACAGGGGTTCTTAGTTCCTAGGGTAATGCTACGATTGGCCGCTACGTATATAGTAGTAGGTTTTAGTGTAGTGGCTCTTAACCGAGCTCATAAAAAGTGCTCAAGCTCTTTGATTTTGAGTTTTTGGAGGCTTCAGTTCTTCACGCAGGGATAGCCGGGGGATCGGTCATTATTGACTTGTTGCCGCAGGTTTAGTAGCGGACATCGAGGGAAAGGCGCACCCCGTCGTGCACCGCAAAGCAATCGCGCAGGGAAGCAAGGTAGGAGGGTAAGATTGCCTTGCGGGGGGGGATCTACCGCAGGAATTAATTACGGTGATGCGAGCGCCCGCCAGTGCTTGGTAATTGCTTACAATTCGTTGTGCGGCAACCTCACGTGCAAGCGCATAGAGTGGTCATCAACCCATCCAATCCGTCAAAAACAATGCGTGGCATTACGTTTAACACATGCCTTTCGCTTCGTTTGCTCCGCGTTTTCCCAGTCGCACGCCTCTCACCTGCCCCAAAACCGCCACGAAGAGGGAAAACTCCCCCCCTTCCGCGTGCCCCCTGCCACCCCCAGCGAGCGCGTGGTCCTGATAACTACCACCACCACCACCGTTGTTCCGAACGGTCCTGAACGCCCTCAGCAAACCTGCGGCCGCTTCCCCACCTCTTCCCAGAACCGCCTCTTCCACCACATCCAGGCCTACAAACAAGCACGCCTCGGACAGAGGAAACCCTCTGTTGTTGTTCCTGCCTTTCGCGGCGTCCACGCTCACGCTTCTGCCCTCTCTCGCCATGCCGCCTCGCACACACACCTGGAAAACCGGACGAGACAGCCGGCCGTTGGTAGATCGGGACACCAGCAGTCGCAAAGGTACATTACACGCATGCCACCTAAGCTTCTACTGTACATACAATTGGCTGCACTAGCATCGGGCCTTAATTGTCGAAACCATCACACGTCTCGATTTATTCAAAAGGCGAAGTTCCGTGACTCGTTCTTTCCATCATCGGCGTGCGGAAGCCATCGATGCTGATGGACCAGTATGGAACATGAGGGAATCGCCAGATATGCAATCGGGGCCAATCAGCAGCAGTTTTGGCACCAACAAGAAAAACGGGCACCCAAGTCCAAGATGGCAACGGCCAACGGCATCAACAGCAACCAGCGACAACCAACAGCAGCATCCAGTCATGGCCGCAGCAACACCATCTACCATTTTTTTGTCACCACCCCCACCCCCACCGCCACCAGCAACAACAAACCTCGGAGGGGAGAGACGGTGCCGCGCCCGTGGCCCTTAGAAGGGCGTCTGGACAGAGGAGTGGCCGGCTTTCCAGGGTTGACAGACAGCCCTGGACACGCTCCTCCCACTCTGAGAGTGCGGGGGAATGGTCCTTGGGGAGCAGCAGCGAAGCGGGCGGGAGCGGCAGCGGCTGCACCCCTGATCGAAACTGTTACCGTCACGTTTGGGGACAAGGGGACCAGCAGCAGAAATGGGAGAAGAACGACTTGGCTTGCTGCCCGTGGCTTTGTACTGTACCGGCTGGCTGCCTCAGGCGTAAACGGGGTTTGCTCAAACGGCCACGAACAAGAAATACCTGAGCCTAAATAATCATTCTGCCAGGAACAAAAAATGTGAACCAAAATACTCCTTCTGTACAGTACCTGAGCGGACGAAGTGCAGATGGGGCTATCATCGGGTTCTATCGGAGAAAGTTCTCTTCACAGCGCACTTTCCTGCTACACCTTTCTCACACGAACTCCGTTCTAAATAGTCGAACATATGATCTCATTGCTCTTCCTGTCACTTCAAATACCGATCACCCAGGTGTCGGCCATGAGAAATCAAACCTACTCCATTTCAAACTGCCAAGATTTGTGCGCCAGCCAAGGATTCTACGCATCCACCGCAAGCACCAATATTTCCCAGGCCATACAGTCCTAAAATGTTGCGAAAAGCCTGCGTACCGCTGTTACTTTACGAGCACGTGGGTGCATCGCGCGTACCTCCTGCCGCCCCTGCTGTTTCTCTGGCGACATCAGCTGCTGTGGCGCTGCTGATGCCGATAGCGATGCGGACCCGCGGTGGTCGTTGTTTGGAATCAGAAACGGTGGTTCGCGGCCGACTTGCGACGATGCTTTCCCGCTGCGGATTGGTCCGGCCAGCAGGTGGTAGGCATCCTGCTGTAAGCAAGCATGGAGGAGCTGCAGACAGACAAGGAAAGGAGGGAATGACCCACATCGAAGGCGCCGGAAGGACAAGTCAGACAATTGGATCGGGAGGAATCGCCCAACCAATGGGGCGGGAAGTTCCAGCCAATGAGGCGGAATCTTCCAACCAACCAAACGCAAATAGTCGCAAATAGTCGCAAATAGTCGAAATGGTACAAAATTGTTGCGGTGGTCGTCATCAAGAGGAGGACGGGAGCTACAATGGCGAGAGAACCCTCGCTCAAAAGCAACGCGGGTTATAGGAGTGGGCATATGCAAAGTGAATCTCAGGGAACAAAGAGAGGTAGACGGACCAATGGACGCATGCAAGCCATGACAGGTGGTTGACTCAGCCCACTCGGCAGAAAGACATAAACACCCAAATCGAACTTCTCAGCAGCGGCGTAAATACTCGTGTAGGCATGACGGGTGCTACGGTATTTTCACTGACACCAGCTTTTCCCCTCTTGGCGACACGGATTTCACTCTCATGGTTCTTGCAGCGATCACAGAGCAAGGGGGGGTTGTGGCATTCTTGAAACGAACCTCGTGGACCTGGGATAGAAAGAAGAAAGAGCAGCCCCAATCCTTCTCCGTGTGCGGTCATCCGACTTATTCTGGGCTTCGATATTTTTACCTTTTGGAGTGATTGTGGAAGCAACACCCAGAGCCATGCAGCAGCACGGCGACACAGGAGTCTTTGTTTTCTCCACCTTCCGTGTGCGGTGCTAGCTCTATTGCTGTTAATCGTGAGAGGGATTTAGCCCAATCCTTCCCTCGTCGACCGTGAAGTCGAGCTTTTGTCAAAGCTTGATAGCCATCCACGTTTGACTGCGACAACAAAATCCAGATTCGTGAGACTGCCCCGAGATTCGAGCGTCAGAAGGTGCGCCACCTCTATGCTCGAAAACACGCAGGCGGCTGATAAAAGGCCGGAGGGAATATCACTGCTTTCCTCTTGGACTCCGCAGCCGCCACCCACCTGGGACGGGAGCTGGCTTCCCCCACCCATCGGCACCAGCATGGCACTTAGCGCTCTCACGGTGTGCTCCAACAGAAGCTCCGGGGGACCCTCCGTTTTTGGAGAACGTAACCCTAACCCCATGTCTTCCTCACACGCCTCTAAGAGAAAACCGCCTTCATCACGAAAAAGACGACTGGTCCCTGCGCCTGCCTCCACTGGAAAGCCTGGCACGCTAGTATTGTGGGTAGGATTTACACAGCAGTCCGGTGTCCCGGCCGCCAGGCTCTGTTGTCCCGCTCCCGCCGTCGTCATCGTCGCTCCTAGTCGTGCCGGTGAGGCTTTTGGTGTCGCCCGTGATGATGCTGACGTAAATGCGGGCCGTGGGCGTTTTCGGCTTGGTCTCTCCTGTGGGCCACTACCGTTGTTGTTGATGCTGCTGATGTTGATATGGCTCTTGTTGTTGGGAATGTAGGCCGAGGGCACACACTGGTCGGACAGCCCGATCGACCGCTTGTTGGCCTTGCGTTTCGAACGGAGGCCTTCCGCAGTCAGGCCTAACAGAACCTCCGTGTTCTTCAGGAGTTCTGCCTGAACGTGTGATGGCATACCACCATACCGCCGACAGAGGGCACACGGGACGAGCACCGTCGCACACGGGACGAGCACCGTCGCAAGAACTTTCACGTTCAGAACAGGCTAGGGTACATTTTCACGAGGCGTGAGCAACTTAAGCATTGGTTGATTTTGATGAATTCAGCAGCGGAGCGCCTGCGATAAATTTTCTTGTAATGCCGCATATATCGAAGCGCCCCCTAACGAGTTAATGCCACAACAAGGAGTGAGACTCTGGATATCAAGAAGGTATCGCAATAGCTACACATCAGCGTCGAACTCAGCCAGTGATTCGACGAGATGAACAGGTCCAACAAGTCGCCAATGGGAACTACTTACGCCTACGATATCTTCAACACTCCATACCTGCACCGCCCTGTCGTGGTGAGCAGCAGTGACGCCCCTTCTCCCTAGCAGCTCATCAAGTCCCTTCGACCGCACCAACTTCCCACCGTACACCTGTCAAAGCATACAGATGCGAAAAGACCAAGGTAATCAATCATGTTAGGTTGACACCGTTCCAGCAGGCTACCTAAGCAGGCCTCTGATTGCCATTGCTATTTGCAGTTCGTCCTACGTCCACACTCCGACAAACAAATCCAAGACACAAGAGCGTCGTAGGCGGGCGTCGACCGAGATCATTTACGTATGGCCGTGCTACTTGTAGGCTCGGTCTGCTCGCTGGGGGGTGTCCACTGCTACGGGTTCTACCCATCCATCGGGCATCGCCCCTCTTTTGTTACCATACCAACGCAAAGCTCTCCGGGGTAGCCTCCGGCGAAAGAGTACCGACAATCAAAGCACTTGCGTCGCTCCTATCGTGTAAAGTAACTCGAATTTGCGTACAAGCACAGGGTGCGGGACTGTGGGACAGCGAAAAGCCAACACCTTTGTGAAGGGTATGCAACCCCATTTCACAACGAATGCATGTGTGTATGTAAAGCATAACGTTCGGGGGAACCGTTTGTTTGAGCGTCGCGCCCCCCAGCAAACCATACTCGAATGCTAGCAGTGTACGCCAAGATTGCCACCCCTTGAATGACTTACCGTAAGATACGTGTATCATCAGGAAGAAACTGGTTTACGCCGATTCTTGCCCGTCACAGAAAAACACTGTCTCACGGTGGTAGAACGCACAAGCCGTCACTTCTAGTTCTACAGGACATGCACAGCTGAAGCACGCAACCTCGTAATACACAACTTGACGCAACATGACATGGCATGACACGTCACGAGAGAGCTCGCCTTGGGAGCAACCGCCTGCTTGAGGATGCTCGCAACCCACGAGGCCGCTTTCTTGGCGAGTTTCTCGCGGTGGTGCGCTTGACTGATGCTCGTCGCGCTAGCACCACTGAGGCTCATCGTAGCACCGCTGGTACCGGCAGGGGAAACTGTCGAGGGGGCGGCGCTTGTGTCTATGCTTGCACTCATGCTTGCACGGCTGCTGGCATGGCTTCCTGCGACGGGGAGTTCAGAATGGGAAGCAGGAGTAGCCTGGGGTAAATGCTGAATTGTTGTGAGCGGTCACAAGAAACGCGGGGCTACATTCGCACACAACGCACGAAATGACCTGGACACGCTACTTTCGCGGACAAGGCCACTATCTTTAGCGCTCCCTCCACTCTTGCTGGTAATCCTACGGGCAACGAAGAGTCGGGCCGCTACCAAGATCTGTCCAACACCGTGCTACGAACCTACGACGTCGACGTATTGTCCCCTACTGTACCACAGTAACAAGTCAATGTTGGCACGTTACACATCTTCGTTCCCATGTTCACAAGCGTCCATGAAAACCACACTTAAAATACCCAACAAAATGCCGGGTCTAGTGCTCGGCGAACAATAGAGACCGGTGCCGACGTTGATGTCAGGTGGAGGACGATAAAATATACAGCGAAATAAACGCAACAAACACAACGCTGACCTACCGGCAGACGAGGGCGTGCTAGCGCCCGAAGCAGGTGCCGGTGTCTTGTGAAGAAAACTATCCCTAGATGATGCTGGTAGCAAAGAGGTTGCGGAGCTCCCTCTGCTTGCCTGCTCAACACAGGCGTCAAGGAAGCCCATCGTTTTAACAACATACCGGACCGATCGGCTTGGTCAACTTCCTTAGCGAGCCAAACCAAATAGGACCGCCTGGGTGGCCGACGCAGTTTGAGTCGAATCAGTCGTGCATTATACCGATGATGGCCGCGAAGAAGATGCCACCTTTACCTATCCCTCCACCCCAAGTTCGAACTCAATGAATGAACAAAAACTGTTGTCGGACATGCCCTTGGCTGTCTATTGCGCAAACTAGCTGAAGCAGAACCTTCACGCGACCTGATTGTGTCTGATAACCTTGCAGGTCTCATGTTACCTGGGACACTGCTGAGCCAAGCCCAGGAGACCTAACCCCGACGTAAAGGTTCACTAGCGCTTGCACTAAATCGCGTCCCGTGGTTTCAGAGGCCCTGTGGTAAAAAAATGAGGCAAAAGCGGGACGATGTGTTGCTGTTGTTATTGTTATTGGTGTTGTTCTTGTGTTGTTGACTTTGGTTGTTTAGCGGTATCTGTAACCCTTTGCAAGCTCCAAGCTCCGCAATCAAATGTGCACATCACGGAAAGCTGTTGTTACTACCGGTTCTACGCAATACCTTGCAGGATCGGGGAGGAGGAATGCGGCAAACACCCTCGAAGCGACACACGAACAGCTCTTTTTCAACGAGCACGACGGCATTTACCTTTGTGAGGTTTAGGTATCCTTTCTTGAAGCCGTTCGATAGCAGTTGACTAAAACGCTTCAACCGAGTTCGATACAACGCAAACGCACAGGGAGGTAGGTAGGAACCAGTCCAGACCGGAAGAAAACCGCCATTGAATTCTACAAAAGACACATCAGTAGCACCAACGCAACGCACCCTCAAATCAACTACAGCAACGGGCTGATACGTTTCGGTCCAAATCCTCTTCGATTTATCGGATACCACAGAAGCACTGCAACCGGGAAATTCATCCTTATCCAAGACAGGAGAAGATTCAACTCACAACATGACACGCTATCGTACCGGAGGTGTTCAAACGACAGCAGCCGGGCGAGCACCGGAGGTGCCACCTTGATGACTTCTTGTACGTAGTCGAAGTCGGCGCTTGGCAAGGGAGGTTGCGTTAACCCCCCTCCCTTCCCTGCTGTGTCTGCCGAGGGCGTGCTGTGGCCATCCACGCTTGTAGAGGTCGTCGCCTGCACAGCCCATCACGAGACACATTCCGTAACGCTTAGAGGGTAAAGCGTGAGGTGTTAGCTACTAAGCACACCGTACCGCCACGAGCTCCAATTGGATGAACAACAAGACCGGGCCATCGAGGGAATACAACCAAGAACGGTCAAGTCCGACACGCACCAGGAGTCGTGCGGTTTCACCTTCGCCCTCCAGTCTTGGAGAGCCCCAACTTAAAAAAATCAAAATCGTCCCGACATGTAGCACAGCGTGCCCAGCCACTATGTGTTGTCCGAAGCTTGCAGCCCAATCCCTCACCTCTGCACCTGTAAACCACGAAACTAAGAAGACATTCATACGCACCGCTGTCAACTCTACAAGCGACCGTGATAGCCCCGGAACGACGCTCGCGAGCTCCACCATCTTGTCAGCGAACTCCTGCGCCAGCGGCAGTGCCGCCGCCATTGCCGGCGACTCCTCTCCATCATCCCCAGGCACCCCCGCGACATTCTTTCCCGCCCTAATATCATCGTCGTCATCCCAACCACAGTCTTCCCAGCTCCCGCCGTGCAGCAGAATTGCGGATGGTGACCTTGTGATTCTACTGACTTTTCGGGCTTCGTCTCTATCGCGCAAGATTCTGAGCTTGGCAGTCCCTAGGGCCTCCCGGGCACGTATGCAGTCCTTGAGGAGATCGCTAGACCCAGCTACTTCTTGAAGCAGGCGATGCATGTTGTCGCCAACCTGCCGCTGTTGCTGTTGCTGGCGTCCATCTAGAGCTTTGGCGAGGCTGCCTGAAGTGAAAACAGCATGCAGGCAGAGATTCAGCGACAGAATAAGAGTGAGTGGACAGACGAAGATTCACCCGCTTCGTTCCGTGACGGTGACGAACGATACCAGTACGACACCTGCAGTATGTCCCGGACAATACTGATTTGACGAACCCCATTGTTTACAAAAGGCTTCGAGTTGAGTTAAGGAAACATGGACACGTATGCATATCAATGGAGGAATATCTGGAATATCTTGCCTTGGAGTATCGGTGGATGCAACAGTATTGTAAGAAAATACAGCCGAAGACGGAGCTACTTGTAGTACCCCTATTGCACCAGACATCTGTTGCGACCCGAGAATAGTTTACCGGTGCGCTGTTGGTGCCGCCCTTGCCGCGCTCTATCACCGCTCGCGGCTGCTGATGGTGGGTTCCACTTCGGCACAGAAGTCTCGTGAGACGATGCCATCTTGTTGGTGATGCCTGCCCCGTCCGTTCTGAGTCGACTTGAAAATCCACGGGGCCCCGACGACTTAAACCCAACCACCCGTTCGATGAAGTGCAAGTCGAGCATGCACTTCTGTAGTCGTGCGTCGCGGTCGAGTCCGGCTTCCTGATATGTACACGAAAAAAGCAGCGCGAAATGGAGGTGGGGGCGAATGAACAAACACAGCACCGAGGCGCAGATTTAGAGCTTTAGCGCCGGCTTGATTCACCGATCTAGAGCGCCATAGGTTCCCGCACCTTTCTCTTAAAAAAACCCGGCATCTCGGCGATCAAAATATGAGTACTCGGGTGAAACGTGTCAATGTATCGCAGGGACCAGCAGCTATGTTGCATAAGATTGCGTACGATACCACACCTCCCGATTTTCAAAGCTTGATGAGTACTCCGCAGCAAAAACTGCGACGGTGCCGAAAATGGTGTCGTTGCGATGGTCTCGTCGAGAGCTTTCCGAAACGCATCTTTTGATGATGGCATCGCCTTCGTCGTGGCAATCGAGCTCGGCCGACGGGGTGTGGCATCCTATTGTATGCATGTCCGTAGTCTACAGCAGTAGTCAACCCCCGTACAACCTTCGAATCTAGCACAGCATGCTGGAAGCCGTTTACTATTGCAATCAACGCGAAGAGAGATTCTAGGCATGGTGAATGGGATGGGACGCATTCACGATCTCTCGCTAACCATTGCACACATCACACCTAATGTCTCTCCATCATGCACAACACACGAGCTGCAACTATAATATAAGCCTTTTAGTCTGGTCTGTGCGCTTTATCACACAAGAGTACACAAAGCAGGACAAAAAAAAAATTGGGCCGCGTTTTTGAAAATCAGCAACGGGCCTTTGGGAGCCTTGGACCAGTGGAAATAAACCCACCGTACTGCACGAACACACACATACCGGGGGGCGATGGCCACAGCTACCGTGCCGCCGCGGGCCGCGGGGAAGGACAGCACACAGCACCATATTATTGAAGTGGTCCTCGCTGCGCCCCAATACCCCACCCCCCTCACATCGTAGATTTTGTATCTGGCGTGCCCCGGGCTCTGGATCTCCGTTGACAGGAATCCGGCAGGCAGGTCTGTCGCCTCTTCTTGCTGGAGGAGTGTATCTACACACAGAGAATATCCGGGCAGCCTTCTCCCATCTAAATCTTCTGGTTCGTGTTATACCTCTTTGCCTCCCTTCACTATAGGGAACGGTTTTAGTGACGATCGTTTGGTACTAGAACACATTTCTCCACGAACACATCATTCATGAGCGGACAGAACACCGCCTACAGCAGCAGCAGCAGCAACAGCAGTCAGTATACTTCAGCATTGCTCATTGCTCAACACAACTGCTGTCGTTACAACCGAAAGACCAGCAAGAGAGGGGGGAGAGCCTAGACGACGAAGAGGATTGACAACAGTAAAATGGCCGCGGGCGCTGGCGCTAACATGGCGAGCACCCCTTCCACCTCGCGAAGATAGTCCATGCGAGACGAAAATAGCGTCGATTGATTGCTGAGAGGGTGTGGCTGCGACTTCGGGGCGGCCAAGGGCGGCGATAGAAATGCGATCCAGGTGAGAGGTGAGAGAGTGCCATGTGGGGTTTCTTGTCCGTCGCCTAATCCGTCGTCACGCGAGCACCAGCAGTCCGCACTCCTGTTGGGCGAAAATTCCACGGGTTTTTATATTGGTAATATATGCTACCGCCGTCAAACTACCGCGGTGGTGGGCGGTCCCGGTAATCCGCCGTTTTACCGCCGTTTTTTGGTTTTACCTCCTCCGCCAAAGTCGTCGTTACCGCCGAAAAACGTGTTACCGCCGTCCGCCAAAAAATTACCGCCGTATGGCGTGACCGCCGAAAAATTACCGCCATTTTTTTATTTTTTGGTTTACCGCCTCCGCCAAACAAAGTCGTTGTTACCGCCTACCGCCAAAACAATTACCGCCGTATGGCGTTACCACCGAAAAATTACCGTCATATAGATTGTTGTTGTTGTTGTTGTTGTCTTCACATTAAACTCGTGTCAGTTGCTAATCCCAAAATCTAGCAAAGACGCGGCCCGTGGTCACAAAAATGCTACGTAGAGCCATCAGATGATCTAAAGAACACCCAAACTAGCAAGAAAAGGGTACACAGGCCCGAAGAGGTACACCCATACATCCCTGCAGCTCGTTTGCGTGCCCAAAACTGAACTACCCGTCCACACACTACATTCGACTACAGCAGCATCATCCCCCCTGTCCCACCCTTTACCAAAATGAATGTTTGTCGACCACAGCGTACAGCTGTCTGGAGTGCTGCCAGTACAATAATAACACCATGCATGGTACATAGGCATGGCACAAGTTCGGGGCGCGCAACTGCTGTCTGGAGTGCTGTGAGAATGTGTCCGTGGACATACAGTGAAAATAACACCCAACCAAAGCCATGATTGCAATTGACAATTACCGAATCTATCTACCCCCGGATCATGTATCTGTGTTGGACACAGCAGTGATAATAATCGACACTGACTAGGAATCGTTCCACATTGAAGGGAGAGGGGTCCTCCACGATGCAGGTACACATTAAAGGCACCCGGTGTATCCGCGCCATCTCTGCCGCGTCTCCCTACAAAACCAGTGACGTCATTACACACACCCAACACCGATATTCAGGAAAAAAAACGGAAAATATTTGACGACACAAAATGTTCATCCGTGCGTCACGGTTCGATGTCGTCCGTGTGCTCCGGTGCCGCTGCTCCGGTGTCGCTGCGGCCAGTCCTAGCACGATCAAACTCGACCCGCTCCGTCCGTACACGCCTTCGATGCTGTCCTTCCCAGTCGGTTCCTCGCTTTCTCCCTCGTTGCACTTACGGTTCTTGGTCTGAAACTTCTCGCGCCGAAGGGTCAACCAGCCCACTCAGCTCGTCACCACCTCTGTCTGTTCCCTCCTCCCCTTTGATGACGAAGCCAGGTTACTGAGACAGTACAGCTCCCTCTAGCAAACCGAGGGTCGTGCACATAGTGTCCGTCCACCTTTCTGATGGCGTCTGCCTCCGTGCACAAAACTGAGATGGAAATTGCTGTCTACACCGACGGCCATGAGGCCCGCGCATCTGCATTTTTGTACCTGACGCATCAGTGCCGACCCAACTCTACCACTGCGCACGCCTCGCGGCGGGTGCGCCGTAGCAAGAAGGTGTCGGTCCCTTGAGGGTGAGTCTAGCCATGCTCGCTAGAAAGACCCCCCCCCTCGCGATGGGCCATGCCTAAGCAAATGCCTTGCCGAGGCAGCGAGGGGAAGAAGGGAGGTACGTTACCGCCAATCTGATAGCTGGGGAAGCGTGTCCAATACGTAACCATCACCACCTATGTATTTTCTTGGTAGGGGGGTACTAGGGTGGTTATTTTCGCGGCGCCCCCCGCGCCCCGGCGCCGCCGCGGGCTGCACCACCCACTGCTACTACTGTACTGCTCTGCTGCCACAAATCACGGGAGTCAGCAAGTTCAGGAGAAGGCGACCACCCCAATCAATGTTCGCCACCACTGAGTTGTCGATTTAAAATGGTGCATGGCAAGGCTTGGTGCGTTGTCTTATTTCTTATTTCTTCGCCAGAAATAAGACAATTGAGAAAAAAACAAAGGTTTCGTAAAAGCAACAATGACCGAAACATTTAGTTACCAGCAGACGTAATCTACAAAGATAGCAGTTGTTCCAGCACTTCGCACACATAATACGATAACAACAGGTCTGTCTGCCGTGAGATCCTTCACTACTGAGAGTCTATCCCACGTTGGCTGTTGCTCGAGGCTTTAGGTCCGGGAGGCCCTTTCGCAGCACAGATGGACGCATGACACACACACACACACACACACACACACACACGTGCACATGCGAAGTCAGTCTGGAAAAATGCATATCATATGAATAATATGCACCCAACGGGCAACGTACGCAGAGACAGACACGGGCTCAGCCAACAGCGACGACATGGCACATTGGGTGGCCGTTGTTAATAAGATAATCAGGACACTGGTGTGGTAGTTATATCTCTGGGCGTAGCGAGTCTTGGGTGTGGAGGTGTAGAGATGAGCGAGCTCTAGTTTTGTCTCTCACTTCCCGAAAAATGCCATTTTTTATTTTTGTGTCGCCGCGCAATGGCCGGGTCTTGGAGGTGGAACTCTCCCCCTCCCTCCCGGCCCTTAAGCCTACTAAGGAATCCACACGCTTGCTTAGGTAGTAAGAACCAGGCTGACCACATCCCGCTGGTCGCCCAGCTTGGGCACAAACCTCCTGGTCCTTCCATGTCTCGCTCTCGCCAACGACATGCTTACCTCGGCTTAACCGGTCGTTCCGTGCCCTGCTGCTCAGCAGCCAGAGACACGCTTACCTTGACCACCATCATGTGCCTTCCCATGCCCTGCTTCAGCCTAGAACACGCTACCCATGTCTAGCTTCCGCCCGAGACACGCTTACCTCGGCTTAAAAAAAAAATAAAACGAACCGACGATGCTCTTGCTCTCTTTCTCTGTTTGTCTCCTCCCTTCCGTACACTCGCTTCCTTCTTCTTCCTCCTCTGTCTCTCTTCTACTCCTCCTCTTGTTTGCTTGTTGTCTTGCTCTTTCGTTCAGTTGTTGTGAGCAAGGGGCATCTCTTTCCTTTTTCTTTTCTTTTCGTTATGCATACCTACCAATCAATTATCTCTTACCTACGGTGCCCCCTTTGATCTTCCTAACCATTCTGACAAAACACCAGGTCGTACAACACAACCTTCCACGTTCGAACGCCGGCATGCACATATTCGACAGGCAACCAACCATCGTTCGCGATGTGTCTACAGGGAGGGGAACTTTATATCTCCAAAAAGCAGTCCAAAAAACATCGTGAATTCCTCAAGAGAAACCGGCGTCCAGTACGATTTCTATACTGAAACTGGTATAGTCTCGCTCGCACCAGCTTTAAATCTTCAACAAATTCCAAACATCAACAGTTATCCGTCTCGACCGCCGTGGCAAGACAGCAATATTCAAAACCCCATGGAATTCGCTCCATCCTAAGCGGGAACTCGTTTTGCACTCACGACAGAAGCCCTC